GGTATGTGTGGAGAAAACCAGGTACTGCTCATCACCTGTCCAATACAGTCCCAACATTGAAGCATGGTGGTGGCAGCATCATGCTGTGGGGGGGTTTTTCAGGTGCAGGGACAGGACGACTGGTTGCAATTGAGGGAAAGATGAATGCGGCCAAGTACAGGGGTATCCTGGACGAAAACCTTCTCCAGAGTGCTCCGGACCTCAGACTGGGCCGAAGGTTTACCTTCCAACAAGACAATGACCCTAAGCACACAGCTAAAATAACGAAGGAGTGGCTTCACAACAACTCTGTGACTGTTCTTGAATGGCCCAGCCAGAGCCCTGACTTAAACCCAATTGAGCATCTCTGGAGAGACCTAAAAATGGCTGTCCACCAACGTTTACCATCTAACCTGACAGAACTGGAGAGGATCTGCAAGGAGTAATGGCAGAGGATCCCCAAATCCAGGTGTGAAAAACTTGTTGCATCTTTCCCAAAAAGACTCATGGCTGTATTAGATCAAAAGTGTGCTTCTACTAAATTGATTTCTGAAGGATCATGTGACACTTTATACTGGAGTAATGATGCTGATGGAAATTCAGCTTTGCATCACAGAAATAAATTATATTTTAAAGGATATTAAAATAGAAACCATTATTGTAACGGGGCTGACGAGACGTGAGACATGTGGATCCATCTGCAAGCTTTATTAAAGAGACGTGGTAAACGGGCAGGGTCGAGCAATGGCAAAAAGGTATATGGCGGGCAAAAACACAAGAATAGTCCTAGGGCTAGCGTAGGTCACCGATCGGCAGACAGAATCACAGGGGCGAGACGAGAGGGGAGGGGAAAATCCAGAAAACCAGGCAAAGATCAGAAACCGCGAAAACAGGCAAGGCAAAATAAGGAAACCACGGAGACTCGGAATGGTGTACAGGCTAAACAATACTCAGCAGAGAATGGTGGTTTGAGTGGGTGTTATATAGTGAGTGAGGTGATTAGAAACAGCTGTGTGCAATGAGTGCAAATCAGTGCAGTGTGCAAATCGTGCAATGAATGATGGGATATGTAGTCCGGGGTGCTATGCAACAGTTTGTGTTGTGCGAGAGTCAATGTAAAGGAAAGGGTGACCTCTAGTGGTGAATAAACGGAAGTCCATGGACCGAATTCGTGACAATTATTATATGTTGTAATAACATTTTGCAAGATTACTGGGGTTTTTTTCTGTATTTTTGATCAAATAAATGCATCCTTGATGAGCAGAAGAGACTTCTTTAAAAAAACATTACAAGTCTTACAGATCCCAAACTTTTGACCGTTAGTGTGTGTATATATATATATATACATGTGTGTGTGTGTGAATGTATATGCATATATATGTGTGTGTATATATATATATATAATGTTGCTATGTTCATACTTTTCTGAAGATACTCTCTCCTTCTGAATTTATGCTTTAAAAAAAATCTTAACACATTTTACTTCTGACAAGAGGATTTTATTTAAAATTGTTAACATTCAATGTATAAGACTATACCGTTTACTTAGTGCATGCATTCCCTGAAGACAAAAAAATAAAAAAACAAAAGTCAAATGAAGCAGAACATTTTGTTTAAAAATATTAAAATATATTCAAAAACAAAGCTCTGGTGCCATTAAGAGATTCTTATACTGTCCCTCCTTGAAAACTAAATATTTGCATATGTATACATATTCATTCATATATTCAGGACATTCATGTAATTCATAAATATTTGTTTTGGGTTTTCAAAAGCAATGCACAGAATATTAGAAAACACAATTCAAATGTTTTAAAAGATGAAACAATAATAGTCTTGTAATGAAAAGGAATTATAATCAGGGAAAGCGTGATAATAATCACACAGTTACACAGAGATTTATTAGTTTGCTAAACATTTCCTCTCTGATTAATAATGTCGTACTACAAGTAAAGGCTGTCTAGCCTTTAAACAGATCTCTCTCATAGACCGGACTTCCGCCGTTCTCTAGGATGCATGTGTAGAATTAAGTTTTCTGGATTTCCTTTTTTCTCAGCTGTGATGGATTCACCTGTGGGATGGTGCTCTGAGCCCTTCAGTGTTTGTCCAGCAGAATTCTTCCAGACGATCGTTCCACTGTATTCACATTTTAGATACACAACATAATCCTCTTTATTTTTTTAATCTCAGGTTTGGGGAGTGGCGCTGTGACAGAAACAATGAAAAAATGTATGTCCAAAGAAATGCAAAACAAAACAAAGCAACTACACTAGCCTCGAAAATTGTTCTGCCAAGACCATAGTACAATGATTATATCTGTTTGTAATACCATGGTACTTTAAAACAAAAAAGTACTATCATAGTACAGTGTTTTGTGGACAT